CCCATTCTTGCTATGTCCTTTCTATTCAAGCTGCTATTCTCCAAGTTAAATTTTCATTTTCTCTGATATGACTATGTAGAATTCCCACTAAAACTAAGAAATTGAAGTGGATAGTGCGGAAGAATGGCAACAAGAGATCAAAGTATATACTTTGTCTTTTTTTAAATATGGCAAAACTGAGCCAATCAACAACTGCATTATATATGAATGACCAGCAAAGAAAAGTTTACTGTGATGATGTTTTAAGACATGAAGGTTTAAACTAGACAAACCCCATTTTGGTCTACATGTATAAAAGTCCTATTTATGAGAAAAGGAAGCATACGCTGCTATTTTGAAGTTTAATCTCAAGTGTACTAAGAAATGAAGTTTCTTACTTATTGAATTCTGAAATGATAATTGAGAGAGTTTACTTAGCACAAGGAAAAAACTAGGACATGAATGTAATGCAGTCCTGGCACTGGTATTCTATTCCTTCCCACAGCAAAATACTATATGCATAGCAGTTTCTAGGCTTTTTTGAAAATAAGTTTACAACACAAGTTAATGAAACTAATTAACAGTCTTCTTTAAACATGTCTTAACACAACATTCCTTCCTTTCCTGCTATTTTAGCTGCCAGGTAAAGAAAGGTGTTTTATTCATTGCTACAATTATAATATTAGATCATATTTGAAAGTATGGAGAATATTCATAGACTATTTCATCAATCATTAAAGATACTATTTCCTGAATAGCTATCATTTTAATTGAAATGTAATATCAGTGATATTAGTATATCAAAATATCACTAAAAAGATACATCAAAGTACTTTCTCTTATTTACCATTAAAATAAATGTTAGTTCTTTTCCTTCTTATCGAGCAGCATAAATTATTCTTCAGCTACATTATTTTTTTCTAATTCAACATTTTAAGCAAGTTGCATTAGTGGGTTTTACATTTGTCTTTCTAGATTTTCTAGCAGTCATTCATTGTTAGTTTGAGTTAAGAATCACAATTAGCAAGTACTTTCACCCAGATTTAGCACATTCTCTGTGTGCTGAAATCTTTTAACATATAGATTAAGCCTGGTAAATATTCACTGCTTCTATATCATAATGCACAACCAAAAGACCAAATTGACAAAAATAGAATTGTTAGGCAAATGTGATAGCACTATAGCCATCACATTAACTTAAGCATGAGTGCACAAAATGCAGATTCTATTATTGTTTTGCACTACTTTATGTTGAATAAGAAATACTGGATTGCACCAATATTTCCATTGCACTGCACATACGAGAAACATAGGGATAATATGCTCAGTGTCTATTACTGGAGGCGTCTGGACAAACATTCTGAGTCTTTATACCAAGAACACAACTATTCAAATTGCAGTTTGGGTCTTCTGAGATTACTATAACAATGTTCACCAACATCAAAATTTCTCTCCAACTAAATAATCTCTAATGCTTACCAGTTGAATCTATTGTAATATTTCAAAATATTACTTCAAAGGTAATGTACACTTCTAGGTTTTGTTATTATGTTATTTATGTTATTTTATGTGACTGTAATATTACTTGGAGGTGGCAAGATACATTCAAATACAGGTAAATATCTATGGGGATTCTCAGTTATTTGGGTCATGGTTGTCACAAAGCTGGAAAAGTTTCTTGCATGAGAAGCGAAATGTTTTCAAAGAAAAACCAGAAAGTCCCATTGCCTCTTGAAAAAAACACCTTTGGGTCTAATACAGGTAGTCCTCAACCTATTACTGTATTTGAGCCTGTAATTTTGGTTGCAAGTCATGATGGTCATAAAGCAGGTCATCATGTGGCAACATCCAATTTTACAATCAGGGATCATTAAGCAAATGCCGTGGTTGTTAAATGCTGTAATGGTTAAGCAAACCTATTGTTCGCTATGGCATGTTTTTTGCTGGAAACTGAAAGTAAACACTAGTTTCCAGAAAAAATATAAACCGGGGGCCCATGACCATAGGACATTTAAATGGCTGTAAATGTTGGGCTGTCTACTGAACACCCAAAATCCATTCATGTGACTGGTGGGGTTGGATATCAGAATCTGGGACATAAGTCTCTTTTTCAGAGTCTATCATAACTGTCACTAAGTAACTGATCATAAATCAAGGGTTACCCTGTAAATAAGCTGTAGCTCTTTTCTTGGAGAAAAAAATCCCCAATCTATATGCCTTTATCTATTTACTAAACAATAGTAAAGTATATGCACTTAATATGTGCTTGTACATCTAATTTGCCTAATTCCTATTTTTATACCAAAAAACAACTACAACAGTTCATCCACATTGGGAAAACTGAGGAGGAAGTTACCAAGTTACTTTCCTGCCTCAGGAAAGACCAGTTATGCTGTCCCAGAGGATGGGGCAGTCCTTCATTGCACAGGGCAGTCATTGACATTTTAAATGCTTTTTAACAATAAAGAGAATGTAAGGCACAATGCATTCTGGAATGTAGCAGGGTGTGTGACAGAGAAGAGAGGATGCCTAACACAAGATCATAGTTTGGTGGCATTTTGCATTCAGAAATCCTAGCTGTAGTCCATGGTAGTACACATTTCATTTGGCAGAGCCGAGAAAGATTTCACTTGAAACCTAGGACACTAACTTTCAATCAGGATAAATAATATTAGACAAGTCAGACCAATAATGTCATTTGAAAGAACAGGTAGTTCCCAGGACATTCTTGACTCCAGGAACTTGCTGTGATATCAAATACTTTCCACTCTGAAAAACACAGATTGTGCCCATTGCTTTTGCAGAATAAAACAGTCCTACTACATGTTCACTCAGAAGTCCATCCCACAATATACAATGGCTACTTTCTCCAAGTTAGTGATATGCAGGTTCATTACTGTACAGATAGAGAACAATCCCTTCTTTGAATTGTACCTGCATTTGTTTTTGTTTGCACAAAACAACCAAACACTAGCAGAAGATCTGTTGAGGGAAACAGCATCCACCACCAATCTCCTCCCCAGCATTCTTAAACCAGTTATTTCTAAACCTGCCCAAAACAGTACCATGGTCAGTACCACAGAAGCATGGAACTGAATGTCAGCAATCTATAATACAAAAAGTACATATGTGTAATGGCTACAAATTATGCAGGGCATTTAATGATACTCAGAATCAGTAAGAATGCAATCCTAAATTAAGAATGTCAATTTTCCCCAAGTGAAAAAATCAACTTTAATCCCAAATATATGGTTTTCTATAAAGCCAACGCACAGCAAAACAAATCACTATTTCTCATCACCTCCTACAATAAGTATTATATTTCACCATTTAAAATCAACAATTTGCTGTTTTAACAGGCACTAGGAACTGAATTTAGGATACTATGCATACACAAGAATTTCCAGTGTATCAAAGTTTAAGAATTACTGAATATATCTGTCATGATTATTTATTAAATTTATAAGCAGCCCATCTTGCCAAATGTATCAATTAATCAAATTGATATTGCCATCTATTTCACTGGAGGCAACACTGGACAGCAAACAATAATCAAATAAAACAGAAACAAAAATGTAAACTCCATATTAATTAAGAATATCATAAAATCTTGAATACAAACTCCAGAGGAGGAAGAATAAAAATGATCATCTCACTGGTGGAGCCATCTAAGCAAGCCTCTGGTTGCTTGGCAGCTGCAGCTTGAGAACACAAACAGGTCTTAGGGGCTTTTTGGAATATCAAAATATAAAAATGAACCTATAATAAAGACGAAAGAGAAAGAAGAACCAAAGACCCTTTCTATTTCTGATAATAACAGTCTATCAAGAGCAATTACAGAGGCTGCTTAGCTTGAATACAAGTTAGTTTAAGAATGAGGTCCATTCCCAAGGTCTCTCCTTATCCAAAATTTCTATGTGAACCAGAAATGTCTTTAGGTCGTATTTCCACAGTGTGTGAACCAGGACAGTATTATTGTATAATACTGTATATACTGTAAGTAGGATTGTGTAGTAAACTTGAACCATTAACTTGAATCGTTATGTATTTAATTCAAATTTTGCTACAGTAGGCTTAACTATGGGTCATCCTTAAGTTGGAGTATTCTGAACAGGACTTGTTGTAAACTAATATTTTGTGGGGCACTAAGCCCAAATGATGGATATCGAGTTATCTTTGAAATAGGAGACATGTCTTCATTCAGCAGGATCCCTATCAAGCCCAGATACATAACTTTCTGGTTGCTTGGTTCCAGGCCAACTTCATAACATAATATGCAGTTACACTTAAGGAATGCAGTTTGACTATATAATTTAGCTCTTTATTCTGCATTGTGAACTGGAGGGCATTAGCATGTGTTACAGAGATGGGGGTCGTTTTGGCACAGCACAGCAACTGGAAGGAGGGGCATAAGGGTGGTCATTGGAGGAAAAGATAAAAGAAAAGTTTATAGCCAGATAGCTGTTAGTCTCCTATAGTACAAGACCATATACGGGCATAGTTCCTCAACCCACTTTTACAGGTTTTAACAGTACAGATTGTCCTCAATTTATAACCGTTCAAAGTTACAATGGCACTGAAAAGTGACTTATGACCATTTCTCACACTTACCACCACTGCAGCATCCCCACGGTCCCACGATCAAAATTCAGATGCTTGGCAAGTGGTTCATACTTACAACCGTTGCTGTGTCCCATGTAATCCCCTTTTGCGATCTTCTGACAAGGAAAGTCCATGGGGAAAAGCCATATTCACTTAACAACCAGGTGACTATTATCCACTGCAGTGATTCACTTAACAATTGCGGGAAGCAAGGTCATCCAACGGGACAAAACTCACTTTAACCAATGTTACACTGAACAGCAGAAACAGTGGGCTCAACTGTCGCTGTAAGTCGAGCTCAAATCTGGATTTTTCTTCCCCGCCATTGCCTGCGTTAAACGAGGACCTCCCGCGGCATCCACACACAAGTGATCGGCGCCACCCGCCCCTCCCTTTTTCAACCCCACCTCTCAACTCACCCAGGTTGACGAAGCTCATGATCATGTCGGCCTCGTTGAGAAAAGCGCTGTCCTGCGAGCTCGCCAGGCTAAGATGGCCGGAGGAGCCCAAGTTGTGGGTCAGGAGAGTTTTGCGTTGCAGGGGTCGCGCGGTGGAGATGTGCCGGGTGCCGCCGGCGCCGGCGCGATGCTCGGGCTCTCCTTCCTCCGCCGCCGCTTCCTCCTCCTCCTCCTCGCCGGACAGCGTGTTGTAGAGATCCAGCATGAAGAGGGGCGCAGAGTTCAGTCTGCCCGGCGGGGGCGCTGACTGCTGGTGCTGCTGCTGCTGCCTCCGGCGTTGCTGAGGGAGCGGAACTTCGGGCTCTCCTCCGGGCTGCTGCAGCTGAAGCCCGTGCGAGGGCCGGGGCCGGTGAGGCAAGCCCAGCACGGAAAGGATTTCCTTCTGCATCTCCCGCTTCTCGTGGGACTTGAGGCGGCGGTAGAGGAAACCCGCCGGGGAGGAAGAAGTGGAGACGGCCGCCTGGGACTGAGCCTTACTACTCCCGGAGCCGAAGCCCGCGGCGCTCCTGCTGCTGCTGCCGCCGCCGCCGCCCAGGAGAAGCGCCCCCGCGGCGGGCAGGAGAGGCAGCCCAGGCAGGGCGCAGCGGCAATAGCTCCCCCACACCACCGCCCACCACCAAAACCAGCGCAGCCTCAACGGCATCGCTTTCCCCGCTTCTGCTCTGCGCCCTTCGCGCTCACTTCAAAGAGCGAAGTCTCGCCTCGGAGGCTGGGGCTCCTTCGCCTTCTGCTTCCACCCTCCCCCGCCTGCCCGGTCCTTTCCCTCGGGGGGGGGGGGGCGGGCGGCGGCAAGCGGTGCTAATTCACGGGAGGGGAAGATAAGCGCTCGGAGCTTCCCTCCTGGGCAACGACCCCATCCCCAGCTTCCATCCAGGCCGGGGCCACAGCCGCAAAGGGGGTTCGCCTACTGGCTCCTCCTCAGGTGCAAACCCCCTCTGGATCTCGCGCCCGGGTTACATCTCTCACTATTCTTGCGCGCGGGATGTTAGACCGACCAGACCCGGGTTCTTTTTTTTTCCCACCGAGTCCTGGAGCCGGCAGCTTTTTGCGCCTCTTCCGCGCCAAAACCAAAGGGGGAAGCAGCCCGAGCCTTTTTTCCCCCCTCACAGGAGTGAAGTTCTCGGGATGGGGTGAGGTGGGGTGAGGGTGGTGGTGGGGAAACAAATAGCAAAAAGGTGGAAGCTCGACAGAGATCGGTCAGGAAAGGACTGGAGAAGTCAAAAACGAAACGAAATCCCCAAATTCCAAACTCCTAATATTCCAACTCCTCCCTTTTCTCTTTCTTTCTTTCTCCCGCTCCCCCACCCCCCCCCGGGCAAAAAAAAAAAAAAAGCGTGGCGAACTCCACAGATGGTTTCTGCCCCCTCCCCCTCCCCTCCCCTCTTCCACGCAGAAGTTTGCGCCAAAGATGAGGGAGCTTTCAAGACAAATCCTAACGGCGCGCGCTCTCTCCTCGCGTCAGCCCGGGCAGCTCTTTTGGAGTCGCTTCTGCGAGCGCGGCTGCCGAGCCTCGCAGGTACCGCGCGGTCATCCAGCTGGCAGAAGCGGCCCGCCTCTCTCTCTCTCTCTCTTGACGGGCGGCGGAGGAGGCAACTTATTAAAGCGGCTCCCGGTCCCCTTATCCGTCACGGCTTTGGAACCTCTCCGCCCCGAGAAGAGGCGTTGCCTCCTGCGGACGCTTGTTTGCTCACCCTTGTTTAGGGACCAGCTCAGCTGAGGGGGGGTAAGATAGGCGGGTAGAGTTTTAAACCCCGTTGAGGGGAGGGGCTTTGCCGAAAAGGAAACAAGTGTGAATGAGGGCGGGTTGTCTTCTGATATGCAGGTGCTGGGAAACTTGGCTTAGCCGGGTTTTGAAAGGGGGGGTGGAATCCTTCACTTTTTAAAGAATAAAATAATTTGCAATGGATATGATTTGTATTTCTATCTCACTATTTTATGCATTTGTATGCATAATGTCGCATTTTTACTTCCTAGATCAATATGATAAAAGTTTGGGGTGGGGGGAAGACACCTTTTTCCTCAGGAAATACTCTGTTGTTGAATTAAAACCCAATGAATAGTCCTGCAGTCCTCCAGGTTTCACAAAACTCCTTTTAAGAGCTCTTCTATTAGAGAATCACCTTGTCTGAAACTGGAAGCTCCTTATAAACTCAAATGTAGTATAAGTTTGAGTTCTTATCCAGAGGTAGGTAGGTAGGTAGGTAGGTAGGTAGGAAGGAAGGAAGGGGAAGGGAAGGAAGGTCTATAAAAGAACTATAAAAACCAACAATCTATAAAAAATATGTTCCCCCCCCTAAGAAAATGCTACATATCCCTACAGATATCCCTAGCTGTACCAAAATTTGGCAGCATAATCTTAGGGGATTTCTCAGTTTCTTAATTTTAACTTACCCTGTGTAACATTCAAGTTTCAGAAGAAGTGGAATCAAAAATTATTTGCCATCTTTTATTACTTTTCTTCCTAGTAATTATAGAATGTCTTAGTTTTAATACGATTTTTAAAACTCTATTTCCCCTTCCCCAAAAAGGAAAGAAGAGGCGTCTGTAAAGAGAACTTCGTGGGACAGGGGCACTCTTTTCTTGAAAATTGTATTTTAAGAATTTATAAAAACCAACAAGTTGTGGGGTCTAATCTGGTCCCAGTTACCAACCCAGATTGGATCCTGTAGCTTTATCCTGGGACACATATATTTGCCTTCATTCATGGCCATCAAGTTGCTCTGCAGAGCCCTAAGTGGAAGCAAAAATCCTTCACACTCTCTTAATTAAACTCCCTTAAGAGTTTATTACCACTTGACATTCATACAGAATTTTTGAGGCTGTGCACCATCTTTCCAGTTTCTGTTACACTCTATCGCTATTCTTATGGAAACTAAGTAGTCCTCCATTAATGACCATTCATTCAACAACCATTCAAAGTTATAGTGGGGTTGAACAAATGATAGTTATGGCCAGTCCTCGAAGTAATGGCCCTGCAAGCCCTCCCATCGCCTGGTCAAAATGTTCAGTGCTTGATAGCCAGGTGGTGGGACGCTTCAACTCCTACCACCTGACTATCTCCCCATCCCAATCTCTGCCCTTACAGCTGCCTGGCACTCTATCTTCCTGCTGCCCCCAGATTCTTCCTCCTGAGGCTGATGAAGCCTCAGCCTGGCCTTTCGTAAGGCAGCTGCTGGCTGCACCGGACCTTCTTCTCAAAGGTATGCACGATCTTGTTCAAATCACATGCAGCCTTTGCACAGGGAATCCTTCTTGTGAGGTATCTAGATGGAGCACAGGCCTTACCTTACCAAAGGCTCTGGCTGGGAGGAACCAAGCTGAGAACAGCACGGGTTGAGGTGGATCCTCATCCAATAATCAGGTAGGGTTTAGTCAGAAATGGCAACTGGGGCTGCTAGGATTGATGCAGTCACATGACACTATACCTTACAGCCACATCACATCACTTAGTGGAAATTCCAGTCCCAGTAACTATTAACTAAGGAGTACTTGAATTCCAGGTAAATTACATGGACATGCAATTTGGACTGAGCTCTTCACTTTAGAGCACTTCAGAGCATGGGACCAGTGGTGGGATTCAATTTTTTTTTACTATCGGTTCTATGGGCATGGCTTGGTGGGTGTGGCAAGGGAAAGATACTTCAAAATCTCCATTCCCTCCCCAATCCTGGGGGAAGGTTACTGCAAAATCCCATTCCCTCCCCACCCCATTAACCTGCTTTCCAGCTCCTTTCTCCTATGCAGGGCAACAAAAGAAGACCAGCTGGTCAGCTGGGACTCAGGAGCAGAGAATAGATGGGGCGGGGCCAGTCAAAGGTGGTATTTGCCAGTTCTCTGAACTACTCAAAATTTCCGCTACTAATTCTCCAGAACTGGTGAGAACCTGCTGAATACCACCTCTGCACCAGACTTGTTGATAAAATCCCCTATTAAATAGTCCAGTAATCAGCTGTAACAATCAAGAAAGGTCTACCTGTAATGCAATATGAAAGTAAGATCTAAAGAGGTGCAGGCTGCTACACAGTAATTTGCTAAACTGTAACCCTTGTTTAATCATCACTACAAGTCACATCTTAGCTTTTTATGGATTTCTGAAGCTCTTTAGAAGGTCAAGAAAACTCGGCCTGGTCAGGTCTGGTTAGCATTTAGACGGCAGAACACCAAGGAATATTATTAGGGCTGGAGGCTAGACTGGGAAATAAAACGAATAGAATAGAAAGCAATTCCATTCTGTTGCCAAGAAAATTACACAGACATGCCCATTAAATTAGCAGCATAAAGCTTGACTGAAATATGGCTTTTAAAAATGGCAATCCTATTTGAAAAAAAATCAAAAGAACATATATACAATAGAGGAAAATCCCTGGACAAATGATTATATCAAAATATTATGCAAATGTGTGTTTCCTTCTATTCTTCAATTGACTTATGGAAGCTCTCATACTAAAAACAATGGATATTATTTCACAAGTGGAGAAGTTAACAGGAAGCCTAATAGGTTGTAAATAACTTAAACAGGAAGTCCATGAACTCAGAACAGTTTTTTTTAAATAAACTAAGTAATAAATCTTTGTTCATTCCAAAAGATTCCTCAAGATAACAGGCATATTTTCCTTTGGCTGACAAATAAACCATATGCAGACAGCAGAGTAATTTAACTGTTATTAAAAACACTATATCTAAAGTGTCAAAAAATGTAATATATTCCATAACCATGTGGCTGCAGTGAAACACCGAATGTTTTTGTACATTGTGCTAACCTATGATCTGCTTAGCTTTGATTTCATAAGCCACAATTGGTTGGAATCACCCAACAAACTAAACGGGAACAATTCAAACCACTTTATAGATTGGCTCAGTGTTTAAACTTAATCACAGGTTTTTTAAGTCTATCTTGTATGACAAGCCGAGACAAAAATCTACCCTCCTCACACACACTTTTTCTTCTATAAACAGCTGTGATCTGAGTTCAAACTTAGGATTCAAAGTGCTGCAGTCTACTGTGCATCATACGGTTTATGGCAATAAAGATACAGAGATGATAAAATGGTTGTATTAAAGCAGCAAGATTCTAATGGTCAGCTGTCTCCTGATAAATAGAAGTAAACATTCCATCTATAACATTGTAAATATTGTTATTATTCAAAAGTGTTTACAGTATTACAAATAGGCTTCTGTAAAAAATAAAATAAAGTAAGAAAATGAGTGACAGAGCAAAATTTGCTATTTGCCCTGCCCTGTCCTCCTTATACTGAATTCTAACTCAGCCAAAATGCTGTAGTTTTGTGGTATCTTAGGCCATATTCCACTGCTGTGTTGCAATCCTTCTCATAAACCTGAATAAAATATTCTGCCAGCAAGATATTTACTATTCTTATTGCTGATCTATTTCCTAGCTGTATTGCTTCCATATCAAGTCAATGCAATCACTGACTTCCTTCTAAGAAAATGGTAACAAAATCTAACAGAATTTATACACCTTGAGATAGTCCTTAGACAGTATCAGATTAAGGGCAAAATACTACTTCAGCCACTGATACAACTATGACAGATTTAATTAAGTCTATCCTGCTCATGGATTAGGGACATGATGAAGACAATGTGGCAGGAGACACTGCCAGGACAAATATGAGCCATGGTTAAGTAGGGAAAGGCCCTTAATCATCCTCTAGGAAGGCCTCACTTTGATATGAGAAGCTGGAGAAGTGGTTTTTTTTTAATTCCATTATCATTTAGAAGATGTGTGTGAAGGCGCTGTTGACCCTAATCTCAGAGATTTGGAAAGTACTACAAGACAACAGATTTTGTATTTAGTCCTAGTTCTAGGGTTCATATAAAACAGGGGTGTCAAACTCAATTTAATTGAGGGCTGCATCAGAGTTGTGTTCGACCTTGAAGGAGGTGAGGGGGCAATTCAATATCACTTGGGTCGGGGACGCCTGTAATGGTGCGAATGCTCTGCCAACAAAAGTAGGCTCCTAAGATGGCTGAGAT